AAACTCTCTGTCCCTTCTGGCAGTGGCTGGTCATTTGTGTAAATGTTGAACATTGATGGAGCGAGCATGCTCACCTGAGGCAGGCCGTTCTTCTGTTTCCGCCATCTGCTTCTCTGGCCCTGGAACCCCACAAAAAAAGCTCCTGTTTTGTAGCAGGTTTCCTATGAGACGGGTGAGATGGTAGTCCTTTGTGATATTATACATTCTTCTCAGGAGGAGGCTGTGGTTCACAGTATCATAAGCCACTGACAGGTCTATGGAACACCTCAGCAAGCGAGAGTCCAAAAATGGCAGGCCCAAACCCAGCACCTCAATCCGTGGGTGATACCAGATGAGAGACCCCCTCCTGGGCACACAGAAGACTGGGCGACTTGGAAGGCACTGAACAGACTGTGCTCTGGCACCACAAGATGCAGAGTCAATCTTAAGAAATGGGGCTACAAAGTTGAACCCACGACATGCGAGTGTGGAGAAGAGCAAACCACAGACCACCTGCTGCAATGCAACCTGAGCCCTCCTACATGCACAATGGAGGACCTTCTTGCGGCAACATCAGAGGCACTCCAAGTGGCCAGATACTGGTCAAAGGGCATTTAATCAACTACCAAGTTTGCAAAATTTGTGTTTCTTTATCTGTTTGTTTTGTTCTGTTAGAAATGTAATACAATGGTCTGGTTGCTGATGACACAATAGATAAATAAATAAATTGCGGTTTTTACTGCAAAGCCTATTACCCGAATGCCTGGTCCCAAAGTCTTGATTTCAACTTTTTTTCTAAAGAGGAGGAGAGATGGAGCCGACCTAATTTCGCTAGGGATTGTTTTCCACAAGCAGGGAGCCACCACCAAGAAGGTCCCATCTCTCATCCCTGTCAATCGTGCTTGTGAGGGAAGCGGGATTGAGAGCAGGGCCTTCCCTGAAGATCTTAAACTCTGAGGTGGATTGTAGAGGGAGATACGTTTGGACAAGTAAGCTGGGCCGGAACCATATAGTGCTTTATAGGCCAAGACCAGCACCGGGATTGTGGCGCAGCTGGCTGAGTGTCAGCTGCATTAAGATCACTCTGACCAAAAGGTCATGAGTTCGAAGCCAGCCCGGGTTGGAGTGGGCTTCCAACCAATTGTGTAGCCTGTTGTCGACCTTTGCAACCCGAAAGACAGTTGCATCTGTCAAGTAGGAAAATTAGGTACCACCTTGTGTGGGGAAGCTAAATTAACTAATTTATGAGGCCATAAAAAGGACTCCAGCAAAAATCATGCGGGGAATGCGGAAGTACTTCAGTGTCGCAGATGGATGATAAAAGCGACAGCTCCCCTGGCGGCCAGAAAAAGTTAAATAGCCTCTGTGTATGTCTGTATATGTTGTATGTCAAATTGGCATTGAATGTTTGCCATATATGTGTACACTGTAATCCGCCCTGAGTCCCCTGCGGGGTGAGAAGGGCGGAATATAAATACTGTAAATAAATAAATAAATAAATTTGAATTGTGCTCAGAACTGGACCGGCAGCCAGTGGCGCTGACATAACAGGGGGGTGGTATGCTCCTTGTATGTCGCTCTGGTGAGTAATCTGGCTGCTGTTCGTTGGACTAGTAGGTGTTTCCGAACAGTCTTCAAAGGCAACCCCATGTAGAGTGTGTTGCAGTAATCTATTTGGGATGTAACAAGAGTGTGGACCACCGTTTACTCAAGTATAATGTGCCATTGAATCTAACGGGCACTTCAATTTTGAAGGTACACATTACAAAAGAAAAGTATTTGCTGTTGGATGCAATGTGCCCACTTTATTAGGCTTAGATGTAAACAGGAAGCCAGGCACCTTTGCCAACCATGCACGGTTCCCAACAGGACTCACTTGTAAGGCCTTCAAAGCTAAGGGAGATGTGCAAGCCTCAGTCTGTAGTGCCAGGACTCAGAAGTTCCCATGCCCAAGTCTGCTTTGGCACATCAGGACCCCAGTTTCACGCCACACTGTTCCCATCTGTTTATAGTATAGTCATTGCAAGCCACCCTCCCTGCCTGCCCACCTGAACATGCAGGTCTTCCTCAGAGAACACCAGCGGTTCAGTTCTTTGTCATCAGCTGCCAAAATCTGGAAGGAAAAGCATAATTTGTTTATTGTGCTATTCTAAAGAGCCTACATCTGGTCCCTCAAGGGAAAGGAGGGTACAGGTAGTCCCTATGTTATGAGCAAGATAGGTCCTATACATTTGTTCTAAAGTTGAATTTGTATGTAAGTTGAAACAGGTACAATTTTTAAAGTGTAACTGCAGCCAAACATATACATATTAGCTTTGGATAGCATAAGGAAGGGTTAACACACTCCTGTGGTGCTTGTTTTGCTGTCTGTGTCCCTGTTCAGAAGATTTCAAATCAATTTCTGTCCCTGTGAGAATTGGATTCTGAATAAAGTTGGCATGTTGTGGAAACAAGGATTGGTGATAAAGTTTTAGTGGAGACACTTTTCCCCCATGATGACAACTCTTCCAGGAGAGACTACTGCAATGCACTCTACGTGGGGCTACCCTTGAAGACAGCCTGGAAATTACAACTCGTCCAACGTTTGGCAGCCAGATTAATAACTGGGGCTAGTTATAGGGAGCGGTCAATTCCCATGTTTAAGGAACTCCACTGGCTGCCGTTTATTTTCCGGTCCCAATTCAAGGTACAGGTTATCACCTACAAAGCCCTAAACGTTTTGGGACCCTTCGTGACCGTATCTCTCTCCACGTACCAACCTGGGCCCTTAGATCTTCGGGGGAGGCCCTCCTTTCACCCCTACCAATCTCACAAGCTCGTCTTGTGGGCACAAGGGAGACAGCCTTCTCTTCTGTGACTCCCCAACTTTGGAACTCATTACCTGGAGAGATCAGGAAAGCCCCTACACTAGAAACGTTCAAAAAGAACCTTAAAACCTGGCTCTTCCGCTGCGCCTTTGGCGAGTAGTGCACAATATGACACCATTGCACCCCTCAACGCTCTTCCCACTGGAATACACGGCCTCCAAATGGGAAGTTTAGCTTCACAACTATGTATGTTTTTACTAGTTCCCTGCAGATAACTTGCTCCTATTTTTATTTCATTAGAGTCTTAGAATCTACACAGACATATAAACCCATTTTCCTAATTCCAACAGACCTCACTACCTCTGAGGATGCTTGCCATAGATGCAGGCGAAACGTCAGGAGAAATGCCTCTAGAACATGGCCCTATAGCCCGAAAAAACCCACAAGAACCTAGTCTTAGAATTGTTTTTATCTTGTACATGTGGCCCGCCCATTATTATTGTGATTGTGCCTATTGGAATGTTATTTTATTACTGTGTTTATATTTTTTTTTTTTGATGTAATTTGATGATGCATTGTCAAAGGCTTTCATGGCTGGAATCACTGCGTTGTTGTAGGTTTTTTCGGGCTATATGGTCATGGTCTACAGGCATTCTCTCCTGACGTTTCGCCTGCATCTATGGCAAGCATCCTCAGAGGTAGTGAGGTCTGTTGGAAATAGGAAAAAAAACTCTAAAATTGCAACAGCACAACAACAGAGAGGAAACAAACAAGGACATCTCATCACCTCTCAACAAAAGTTGGCTCCAGGCACTGTCAGGCCATTATGTGCTAATCAAGGTGATCAGTTGAAACATTCACATCTAGCTCCAGCAGACAAGAGCCCTTTGTCTCACCCTGGTCATTCCACAGATATATAAACCCTTTTTCCTAGTTCCAACAGACCTCACTACCTCTGAGGATGCTTGCCATAGATGCAGGCGAAACGTCAGGAGAGAATGCCTCTAGACCATGGCCATATAGCCCGAAAAACCTACAACAACCCAGTAATTCTGGCCATGAAAGCCTTCGACAATACATTGAAGCTGATAGTGTCTTATAAATAAAGATGATGATGATTATTATTATTATTATTATTTTCCCATCCTAGAGGTGGATTTCTCTCGCTTCTTGTTGTCTCACCCGTTCTTAATTTGTAACTCAGGGAGTGTTTGCATTCCCTTCCTATTCTGCCATAGGCACAGTTTACCTCCTCAGTCGTCAGCCCATAGCTGCAAGGGACGACAGTCCGATATTTGAAACGACAGGGCAGGTCCCCAACCAGATCCTCATAGTCCAGGCGGTAGAACTCGTCCAGATACTGTTCAAATGTCTTGGTCCCTGCAAAAGGAAAAGCAACTTGCTGAGGTGGAAATAGGATGGTGTCTTTCAGCACAGGTGGTGAACACTTCTGTCTCTCTCAAGACAGAAAGAGAGAGAAATTACAACAGCAAAACAACAGAGGGGAAACAATCAGGCACATCTAATCAGCTCTCAACAAAAGATTGCCCCAGGCACTGCCAGGCCATCAAGGTGATCAGTTGAAACATTCATATCTAGCTCCAACAGACAAGAGTTCTTTGCCCCACCCTGGTCATTCCACAGATATATAAACCCTTTTTCCTAGTTCCAATAGACCCCACTACCTCTGAGGATGCTTGTCATAGATGCAGGCAAAACGCCAGGAGAAAATGCCTCTAAAACATGGCCATATAGCCCAAAAAAACCTACAACAACCCAGAGAGAAAAGAGTTTGTCCAGAGCCACACATTGAGTTGAAGGCCCACCGTCATTCTGCTCTGGCTTCCCTGGACAAGAGGTTTGCATTTTAGAACCAGTTTTAATCTCTGTCTTGAGACTGGACCGAAAATGTAGGTCTCCTTGAAACGTTTTGGCCTATTTTTTTGACCTGAGAGAGGTCTCCCTGCACTTCGATCAGAGCGCTCATGCAGCGGTTGTACTGGCCAGAAGTCCTTCCCTTTCTGCCACTACACTGAAAACTCCATACCCAAAGAGAATCTTCACAACATCTGAGGATGCTTGCCACAGATGCAGGCGAAAAGTCAGGAGAGAATGCTTTAAGAACATGGCCAAACAACCCAAAAACCTACAACAACCCAGAATCCTATTTCAATCCTTCCTAACCAGAAACTTCTGTAATGTCAACCATCCAATGTCCTTACCTGGGTCAAAAGGTTCTTTTTTCTGACCGATCGCCTCTGCAAAATGTGACTTGCGCTTCTTCTTGCCCAGAAGCGGGATGTCCATCTTCCGCTTCCTTTTTGATGGGCCAGGCTGTTGGGAGGGGTCATAGTCTGCATCCATCTGTAAGTAGGGTTTGAGAAGAAATGCAAGGTAAGAAAGCAAGCGGCAAGCAGAACAATCACCTACCCCAAATAGGTGAAAATCACCATTGGCTGCTCAGACAAATCAACAAGACAAGCCCCCAGTCCCCAATCAATTGGTTGTAGGGGATCCCCATTAACATTTAGGTTTGGCAACTTCATGACTGAGTAGGATTTCAATAAGGCTCACTTTGAATTCAAGCTTTCATTGCTCTTTCAAAGAATGAAGAGAATTCCCACCCTCTATTTGAAAGGATGTCATAAGGAAGAAGGAGCAGGCTTATTTTCTGCTGCCCTGGACGCCAGGACTCAATGGAGGAATGCTCCAAATGACAGGAAAGGAGATTCCACCTGAACATTAGGAAGAACTTCCTTCAACAGTGGTACTCTCTGCCTTGGAGTGTGGCTTCTTTGGGAGCTTTTAAACAGAGATGGCCATCTGTTGGGGGTGCTTTAATGCGGCTTTCCTGCACGGCAGGGAATTGGACTGGATGGCCTTGGGGTCTTCCAATTCTATGATTCTATGATGTCCCTTTTCACCCAGCCACGTTTTTGCCCCTCATATTTCCAAGAATTCTACAAAGAATTACACCGATTTAGAAAGTATATGGACTCTCCCCTGCTTTTCCCAGGTATTGTCTGCTGCCAGCTCTAAATTAAGTTACAAGGCCAATGTGGGGCAAGAGCTTCACTATCCAAGCAGCCAGCAAGGGCTGAGAGGCCTGCCTCAAGGATTAAAAAAGGTAGACGTACAACAAAGTCAGGATCCTCACAGTGCGGCTGGTTCTCTTCTTCCCTCTGAAAACACATGTCAGCTTCTGCCTCGGCACCATCTTCGCCTGTCCACTTGTCCCAATTCCATTCCTCTGGATCAGGGATAGAAAGAGAGAGATTAAGAAGTGATGACCTGTATAACGATCATAGGGGAAAGTAGGGAACTTTATTCGATAATAAAAATTAGCCAAATTATAATGACCACACAGCAACCTATCACATTATAACAATGACACCAACACTACAGGCTAGCTCACCAAAATATAAAGGGAATATGCTGATGAACCACCTGAATATTTAAAAGCTAGGAACTGGGAACCACTGGAACTGAGAGACTTAAAACAATTCTTTAAAAGATTTCCGCTGCCAGAACATTACTAATAAACCGGCTGAGGCATTATTGAAAGGTTGTTCTGTCTCACACTCTGTGCACCTATAGATTTCTTAGAGGCTGTTAAAAGCTGACTTGAATAACACTTTGACCACAAAGGTATTCACACTGAGATTGGTATAAATTGATAAAAATAACAAGAACTTTTATTGAACAGGCTTGAATAATTCAAGTACAAATGCTTATTGGTTTCAGTAAAGTTCTGGCATACAAAGCTTGTGGTTTCGTTTGAYTAAAGATCTTAGAAACCTCTGGYTTACAAGTCTTAAAGTTTRAACACAGAAAATTACTTCAGGAAATGAATCTCTAAAAGTAACTCCCACAAAAATCCCCCTTAGGAATCTAGCCAAAACCTGAACTAGCCTTCCTTAGGAAAAGAACAGCCCACTAACGGGGTTCTGCTCCACACAGTATTCTAGCTATACTTCTCTATAGCTACCCWGAATACTAAACAAAAGACTGACCCAAAGTTCTTCTTCAAAAACCCAAACTCCTCTCACTAACACCCAACATCTTCACTCTACCCTTTCTAAGCTACAAATCTCAACTCAACTGGAAAACTTTTTCTTCTCCAGAGAGTACAACACAAATGAATGCATTCAAATGAGAAGAAAGGGGTTCCCTGCTGATTGGTAATGGAAGGGACTATACTGGAGGTCGGTGGATCCATTTTCTTTGGAGGACTTTACTTCTCAGGAGGACTTTACTCATAGAATCAAAGAGTTGGAAGAGACCTCATGGGCCATCCAGTCCAACCCCCTGCCAAGAAGCAGGACTATTGCATTCAAATCACCCCTGACAGATGGCCATCCAGCCTCTGGAAACACCTGGAAAGCCACAAGCTGCTCATCCCTGACCTAGAAGTAGTGGTTCAAATACAGGTTTATCAAACACATAAATGGCTTCTTCCTCCACGCCTTTTCAACATACCATCAATTCCTTCCTCTGCCTCAAATTGTGGTTTCTCCTCCTCACCAACTCCATAGTACTCATCGCCAAAGAATTTCTGGAACAGACAGAGAAATGAAGAACAAAGGGCTTCTTTATTGCTCCTCACAATAGTGTCATGAGAAATACAAATCTCTGAAAGCTGTCATAATGGTTCAAAATCATGAAAAGTTCATTTTCGATTTTTGGTCTCCTCTCACAAGATTATGATGTTAAAATCCTTAAAAGGAGCACAGAAAGATCATTTTGCAACTTCAAATGAGGGATGCTCAGCCTGTGCCTTTAAATAAAGGTTGAGCATCCTTAATTGAAGTTCCAAAATCTAAAATATAGTCAGCCTCCATATTTGTTGGAGTTAGGGGCACAAGAACCCACTCACCCAAAGTGGAAAAACTGCAAATAAAAGTATCTTTTTAATCTGAGAGAGCAGACTAAATCTCTAGGAATCTCTAGGTTATCCAATGTAATCCTATGGTCGACTTCTGTTGAGAGGTTGACCACATAGAATCATGCTGGAGGATCTACAAATATCTAAAGAAATGTTCCCTCTAGGAATTCTAGGTCCTCTAG